TGGAAATTGTTAAGATGTTATACATTTATTGTCAATTACGTAATTCGTATGAGCCTTTGTATACGCTATATAGATAAGTATGAATACAGTACAGTTGTTCCCTGACCACTGATCATGATGTTAAATATGTATTTTCAGTATGCAAGGCTTGACTCATTGCACTGCGTGTCAGCCGTTACCGCAATCGCTAACAACCGATATTCTCATTAAAAAAACAAATTTCCAAGGCCGGAGTATCGGGCGCAGAAAAATGAGAAATACTCTTTTTATATAAGATAAACATCTGTTTGTGCCTTTCGGATTTTTTATTGTTGTCTTATATTCTAAGTGTTATAATCATCTTCACATCATGAATGAATCTCCTTCCTCTAAATAATAAAAACTCGCTTCACTCCATTCCCCGAAGTGGTAGGTATTGCTTAGGTGCATTTGTCAAGTCTGTTGATTATATATACATATACATGTATGTATATATATATATATATATATATATATATATATATATATATATATATATATATATATATATGTATATATATATATATATTCAAAAACGCCTGATGGAGGTAAGAGTCCATCTATTTCTGAAGTTTTCTAATTTGAATATTTATAACTTTAAAACATTATTTCCTCAATCTGATTTTTTTTCCTGTTGTAGATATTTGTGAAAATATTCTAACCAATCACAGTCATCGTTACAGACCTATGTCTCCATCCACGGAATACTACATACTACACAAGTATAACCAGAAAAAAATTGTTACCTCCAGACTCGTGGTGTACCAGTTGGAAATGTCTGGAACTGTACATCAGGAAGCCACGTTATCCTTTTGTATCGAGTTATTGCTTCGTTGAACCTGATTAAAAGAAAAAGTGGTGTTTTAGCAGCTTCAGTGAGAAACAAGATTCTGTAATGAAGTGAAAGAGAATGTAAAGAGAAGAAAAAAAGAGTGAATAGTCTTTTTTTTCACTCACTCACTCTCTCTATCTTTCTCTTTCTCTCCCTACCCCCTATCTCTCCCTCCCTCTCTCTCTCTTTCCCTATTGTTATCATTTTTTTTCGCTACCTTCCTAATTTTCATCAACGTTGTTATTTTTGTTACTGCTATTTCCAGCGTTACCACTATAATCATTACTATTACTACTATCATTAACATCATTTTTCTTATTACTAATATCATTATTGTTGATATTATGATTATTAGCATTATTACTGTTCTTGGTTATTATTATTATTATTATTTTTATTATTGTTGTTGTTGTTGTTGTTGCTGTTATTATTATTATCATTATTATTGCTATTATTACAATAGATATTATCATTATTTTAGATATTATATCAGTATCAACATCATTAGCCTCAATCTTTACAACGTTACTCAAACACGCAAGCCTAATATAGTAAAAAAATAGAAATAAGATAAAAGTAAAATTAATAAATGAATAAACAAATAAATAAACTGCGCACGGTGTTGTTATGTTGAGTACACACGGAAGATCGAGTAGAAGGGAACGTACGTGAGTTCGCAGACGTGGCTGAGGGCGGTGTCGAGCTGCCTCCGGGTGATTCCTCGAGAGCGGAGGCTTGTCAACCCTCGCTCATGCAACCAGGCCGGGTCGACACCGTAGACGCAGAACGGTATTTTTTGCACTTTCAGATAATGGCATGGCTGCGTCGTCAAATGTTAGTGAGATCATCCGGGCTTCTCAAGTATCTTACTGTCAATCGCCAGTAAGATACTGGAGAAAATTATTGCCTCTCGCCTAATGGAACATCTAAACAAAAAGTATCTGTTGTCAAACCGGCAGTACGAGTTCCGCAAAAATCGTTCTGCGGCCGACTTGCAGCTGCTGATGACAGCCGATTGGACTGCTCCGCTTGATCGAAGCCAACGCACTTGTGCTCTTGCTCTCAACATTGAGAGAGCATTTGACAGGGTTTGGAATCTTGACTTGCTCGAAAAATTGAAATGCTACGGCGTCGACAGCAATCTCTTGGAGCTGCTAAAGCACTATCTACATGGCAGACAGATGAGAGTCGTATTCACAGGTAAACACTCTGCCTTATACAATATAAAGGCTGGCGTACCCTAAGGCAACATAGTGGGCCCTCTGATGTGGAACATCTTCCTTAATGACTTGCTTCACCTCATAACCGAAGCCAAAGCCTTTGCAGATAATGGCAACGTCTCCATTACATACGAGCCCACCCAGCAAGATAGCGCTATAGCATGATTAAATGAAATGCACTAATATCAGACTGGGGGATGAAGAGGCAGGTGTCCTTTGCCCAAAATAAAACCCAGCTCATGGTTATCGAAAGATCCGAGAGTGACATTCAATTTAACTTTAATGGAAATACAATACGACCACAATAGGAAATCGAAATTGTGGGAACCGTCTTCGACAAAAAGCTAACCTTCAAGAGCCACATCGAAAGCCTTGCAAGAAGAGCTTCGCAGAAACTCGCATCCTTCAGGAGGATCAGTTGGCTGCTTGATGACAAAGGAAAGGAGCTCTTTTACAAGGCTCAAATTCGATCGGCACTGGAATACTCCTCTCTTTCCTGGGGAGGAGCAAACACCACACACCTCGGTCTTCTCGACAAAATACATCGCCAAGAAGTCCTTCACTTGCAACCAATGAGACTGCCAAGAAGGCGAGCTGTGCGCACCACAAGAAGAGTGGAACAAGCACCTGCAGACTGGTGGAGCCTCGTTGTTGTGCAGCGCACTACCAGCGACAGTTCCTCTTCAGATACGCAAAGTTGTGGAATGAGCTTACTCCTTGCAAAGTTTTAAATGTAAAGTACATGTATGGCTAAGATCCATACATAGATAGGCTATAATTTTGTACCTCTGAACGATATGTAAACATCAGCATCATAAGTTTTGACTTAAGATAGGCTTCACTAATAATGAAAGCCTTTAGTCAAGAAAAAAACATTTTGTAAGACCATAACATATCTAAAATGTAACCTGCCTTATGTATTTATTTTCAATAAAGTATAAAGAGAGAGAGAGAGAGAGAGAGAAATAAGAAAGGGAAACTGACAGAATGATAGAGAGAGAGAAATAAGAAAGGGAAATAAAGAGAATTATATATATATACATATATATATATAGATAGATAGATAGAGAGAGAGAGAGAGAGAGAGAGAGAGAGAGAGAGAGAGAGAGAGAGAGAGAGAGAGAGAGAAAGAAAGAAAGAAATAAGAAAGGGAAATAAAGAGAAAGAAATAGAGAGAGAGAGAGAGAGAGTTATGTAAATGTATGCGATACCGATAAAACGATACTGTTTTAAGAGAGAGAGAGGAGAGGAGAGAGAGAGAGAGAGAGAGAGGAGAGAGAGAGAAAAGAGAGAGAGAGAGAGAGAGAGAGAGAAAGAAATAAGAGAGGGAAATAAAGAGAGAGAGAGAGAGAGAGAGAGAGAGAGAGAGAGAGAGAGAGAGAGAGAGAGAGAGAGAGAGAGAGAGAGAGAATGAGAAACAGAGAGTTATGTAAATGTATGCGATACCGATAACAAGATACTGTTTTATAATTGAAAATGTTCTAACAGTCAAAATAGTCATTTCAAGTGAAATACAGATATTAGACATGACATTCATTACACATTTATTACATATTACAGAACCGCATTATACATCTTGCTTCTTCTAAATTCAGAGTTTCGAAGAGTTTGAGAAGCTACATTGTTGTCCTCTTCTCCTTCAATAGTAAACCAGTCCCATAAAATTTAGTTGCTTGTTTAGTAATCTTCAATGACACTTGTTTGTTAAGGATGTTCCTTCTCTATATCCCACACTAGAAAAGAGAAAGTGAGTGAGTGAGTAAGGGAGTAAGTAATGGATCCATGAGAATGACATTTTATGACTTTAAGAGTTACAGTTTCTGAAACACGAATATCATCTTTGGGTATGCAGTCCCCCTTAACATTATCTCTGACAACCTGTTACAAATTTCTAACCTAATGTTCTCTGCAAGTCTTGATATTTAAGGATCACTCCATGTGACTCGAGTGTGCATAAACAACACATCAAGCAATTGTGTAATTCCCCATTCATAAATTCCCTAAGGAAGCCGCGCAAAAACAATGAATCAGGTGAGAAAGCCTTATAATTTATATTCACAGAAAATGTAACATGTGATTCTTATTTCACCTCGAAATAATGTGTTTTACATTTGTACATTTAACGAAAGCTTTTGCATATATTCTTACTTGGGTATTATTTGTTTAAATATAATTTGAGATTCAATGCTATCATCGATTATGGCTTTCTTAAGTTTCCAGTTATACTATTTCCAATTGTTTTTTTTTTTTTTTGGGGGGGGGGACGCCATATATTTTGAACAAAAATATTGGTATCCGGCAAAATTTCATGTTTTTAAATTTTTAACATAATCTGATATTAGTTGCCAGTGAATATATTTGCTAAATACCAGGCGCCAACCACATACTTCCATACAAACATGAGAATTCCATTCACAAATTTCTGGATACTACATATGCATTCCCCCTAAAGAGGAAAAGAAAAGAAAAGAAAAAAATACTAAAAAAAACTCGGTCCACGCACCGTGGAGGTGTGCCAGTAGGAAATGTCCGCAATTGTACATACTAAGGCAGTGCATTAACCTTACCTGCAGTCGTCTCGGCAATGGTGGCCGAACTAGCCATGTAATAGGCTCTCATGCTGAGCTTTGGTGGCCAATCGGACAACGACAAGACGATTAAACAGGTCTAAGTTGCACTCAGCAGATACGGTAATACACAAAGCTGCATCCTGGAGAGAGTAACCTGCTGCCTGCACAGCTCCGCCAGTGGGTCAAGGAATAGCTCTCAAACAGGAAGGCGTAAGTAAAATTCCAGGGACACACTGACTTTTACATCTTTGAAAATGGTACCTCCTAAGGCGGCCTCCTCAGCCCTTTTCTATTTACCTTACTTATTGTAAAGTTACTAGAGACCCCTTTCCCTAATAACTCATATCTCCTATCCCACAC